GGGGGGGGGGGGGGGGGGGGGGGGATTTGGGATTCCAGCGCCCCCAGGGCTGCAAAGTTGTCTCCTGAGGCACGCGCCTGCCTCCAGTACGTTCTTTTTCTCCGATCTCTCAGCAATTTCAAGCCTTGCTCCACCTTCCCACGATACCGCCGCCAAGGCGGTGGGCGCGCGCACGAGAACCGCTCACACAGATGGAAAGCCTGCGCGGAGCTTCGGGTCTCGCCGATCGACGGAATCACGCCGTCGTGCTTTGGCCGGTCGATCGCGAATAGCAACCTGGCTTGCGCAACGGCGCCGCGGTGAGTGCCACAAGGACGGGACCCTTCTGGGCCTTGGGGAGGCTCAGTCAGGGGGGATCAGGGGCTGGGGTGCTGGTGCCGGACGGCCACAAGCAGGGGTTGGGGTAGCCCCCCTTCCCCTCCCTCCCCGCTCCCACACTCCCTTNGGGGGGGGGGGGGGGGGGGGGGAAGGGGGGCGAGGGGGCTAGGGATTCTTGCCACAAAATCAGGGCGTCGCTGAAGACCTTGGGGGTCCTGGCTCTCGACTAGGTGTCTTGGGCCAACGGGGGCAGGGAAGAGAGGGGCATGGGGGTTGCCTCTGTTCGTGCTGCTCAACACGGCCGCAAGCCTACGGGGGGAGGAGAGGGGAGGTCGGGGGGTGGGTGGGGGGGCATGCGCACACAGGCGACACAGGGGAAGGGGGAGCTGGGGGCATCAGACAACGCCTATCCTCATCAATTCATGCTTCTTCCGTGAAACACTCGACACATTTTCACTAACGCCATCGGATCAAAACCTGTTTCACCAAGCGCCCAAGTCAAACCGACGAAACAGATGAACACAACTCCCATCTGTCGAACGCGCAACACTCATCTCCTCAAAGGGGCAACCAATTGTTGGCTGGTCCACCTTCAATCGCTTCAACTAGAACCCACCAAGCCCCGATTCGTGGTGGCTCGAGTGTCCCCTCTCCGGAACCGTTTGGTAATGGCGCCCCTTTTTGTGATCCCCACGACGATGCGAAATGATTTCGTCGTTGGGGACACAACATGGAACGCCCCTACGAAACGATTCCAGAGAGGGGACACTAAAGCCACAACACATTGAGCAACTTACAGGGCAATCGATGCTTCAAAAGTCCACGTTCCGTCCTTTGAACTAAAACCATCACCCACAAGCTCCGCCAAGCCCCGGTTGTGACTCGAGTGTCAGGAATCATTTCGTATTGGCGCTCTATTTCGCATCCCCCACGCGAAATGATGCCCCACAACGCTCCATTTTGCAGCACGACAAGATGTCATAATTTCGCGTGGGGGTTTCGGAATGGAGCGCCAGTATGACCTGCTTCCGTAGACGGGACGCTCCGGCCGCAACAGCTTGGCGCTTCGACCGCTACACCAGACCAACTCAAAGAATGTTACCTCTGGGGGAGACCTGCGGCCGCAGCCGCTGCGTCGCGGAGCTTATCCGAAGTTGAAGCCGCCCTGGTTGGGCTGCGCGCCGAAGGTGGTGTCAGTCCCTGCTTGTGTCGGCTGCCCGAAGGCGAACTGCTGGGCACCCTCGGCCTCCAGGGGCGCGATGCCGTTGTCCTCCTCGTCCTCCACGCCGAAATACCGCTCGAGGAGCTTCAAGGCCTTGTTGTAGATGTTGTTGTTGTCGTGCATCTGGAGCTGCTCGATGCGCTCCATCCCTCCGCACTCCATGATATATGTGGCCATCTGGTTGATCTCCTGCCCCTGCGCCTTCGCTTCCGTGTCGCCAGTCTGCAACACACGTCCACAACGGAGGAACCAACACAACCCAGCGCCGTTGAGAAACAACAACGTCCGGCACCTCCACAAGCCCAGAGGTGGATAAATGGTGTGCGCAAAGTCTACTAGTATCACTCTCTTCGTCCCCTACTGCTTTGCACCTGTAAGATCCAAACAGCGCCCACAACGTTTTCCAATCTTGTTTGTCGCTGAGCGATGACAATCGCCCTCGACCTGGCTGCGATGGGGGCTACGGTAGAGCAGGAACAACAGTAGCAGGTACTAAATACCAGCGGATTCCAGTTTTGGCGTCATCGCACCTTGAGGATGTTCTCGAGACCCTCGAGCGCTACCGTAACGATCTTAGCGTCGTGGACTTCAAGCAAGTCCGACAGGGGCGGGATGCAGCCCTCCGTAACCAGGTATTTGATCTGCTCCGGCTTGCCGCCACTAGTGGCGTTCGAAATTGCCCACGCTGCTTCCTGGAGGGGGTGGGGGCACAAAGTTGGCGTCAAACGCAAGTGGCACCCGGGAGCGCAGCAGTTTAAGGCAAGTCACAAAAATCGTCTTCCAAGGATAGGAATGGGCCCTATTGGACGCGCGCGAGACGAATTTTCGCTTGTTCGGGAGGAACGACAAGCGCGGCTAGACTAGACAGCATCCCCCAATACTCTCGCGGTTTCGAGATAGCCGAGAGGGTCGCCGAGCGCGGGGTATCAGCAGGAACGAGAGGGGACGAGAGCAGAGACCACAAGGCAAACCCGAACAGTCCCGGAACGCTCACAAGTATAGACCCACGGAATCCGGTCCGGAGTGCCCCGTCGCAAACATCACGCCGACACCAAGCACCGTCAAGACACGAGCACGAACGGTGACCTTGGTGCTGGACCGCCTTCGCGAGTCATCAAGTTTACGAGGAAATACAGAACGGAGAGGGGGTACGCAGGCCCAACCCCTAACCCAACTTCCGCGATTGTGTTCTCCATCCAACATTTGTATACAAACAACGAAGCACCCTGCGACAAGGCTACTACCTGTACCGTGGCACCCCGCGCACCTTACGGATGTCGAACTCCGCGTTGGACAGGAGCTGGATAAGCGGGGGGATGATGTTCGCGTCGATGACGGCCTGGATCTGCTCT